AATAAAACAGCAACTCACCCATCTTGATCCTCTTGCCCTCAACGTAGGGCTCATGGTGGAGTCTCTTACGGGGCTGTACAGTGGCTGGCGTGCAGCGGGTGATCTCACTCTGAGACATGCCGAGGTCCAGCAGCAGAGTGGAAATCTGGCCCTGAAAGTCCACGCTGCTGGGATGCTTCAGCACCGAGACCAAGTGCAGCTTCAGGTTCTTGCGCACACTGCTCACTTGAGACTTAGCCAGAGTTGGGGGCAGGTTAGCTGGGGAGCACAACAAAACCAAAATTTTTAGAAAATTAGAAATTAGTAGATTTGTATTTTGAATAAAGTCAGTGGACGGAACTCACCATGTAGCGTCTCATAGGCCTGCACCACCTCAGACATGAACATGGGCCGCTGTCTGGCCAGTGTGGCCAGTGATCCCAGTGCAGTGGTGAGATTAATGCTGGAGATGGCAGGGTGCACCATAAACTTTAACAACTGCTCCAGAGCCGACTTACCCTCCTCACATAAGGTGTCTTAGAGAAGACAGGAGGAAGACAAGCAGAGAAGAAAGGGAAGCAAAAATAAAGAATGAAAATGTTTCTGTGAAACTTTAACAAGTTTTGACATTAGGGCAGTACAATTTGGGGGGAAAAAATCCAAGAAAATTATAATTGCAAGAAAAAAAGTTCCAGGTTTGCTGTGCTTGGCTGCACAATTTGGCCAATATTATTTTTATATTATAAATCAATATGACTATTAAATAAAAATAATTAGTAGTAGTATAGTAGTAATTATTATTATTATTACTAAATAAATAATAAGCAAAATATGAAAAATTATTATTGAAATATATCAGTGTCAAAAAAAAATCTAATCAAGTACTTAAGATTTATGTGTGGTCTTTGTGGATTTCATACAGACTGCAAAATTTGGACAAATGTGTGAGTTTATATCAATGTGACAATTAAATTATAATAATTATTATTTTTTAAATTATTTTACAAATTATTCGAATAAAAAAATACAAATTGGAAATATTACTTTAGCAATTTTACTGTAAAATATTTACAAAATCAAGTGCTTAATATAATAACTTTTTTACAGTGCAACTGTAAAATTACAGTGCTAATATTTATGGTTGTCTTAATTTCTTCATTTTCAAATGATAAACCATCAAGCTTTTAAAACCACAGAGAGCCCTTAAAGCTTCACCTTTGTTGGCAACAGCCAGTTTATAAGCACATCTCATCAGAAGTTTGTGAAGATGGCTGGCGTTCCCACATGCACATTACAAGCGACCCAAACTCAAATGCAGAGATGAGCATGTACAAATCAGCTCCAATCTGAGACACTGAAAACACTAATTCATGAGCTGCATGCATGCCACCCTTCACTCAAACATGCAGTGGATATATTTATTTAAAAAAATAAAAAATAAATAATCATATTGAAAGCCAAAATTGAGTTTGAAAATGTGAATCTGCTCTTACCATATCGAATATATGTGTGGTCTTTGGGGATTTTGTCCAGGCTGATGTCTCCCTCCTGTTTCTTGGGCGTGTCAGAGTCAGGTGTACGCGGTGACAGCGTGATGATGAGGGACTCTGTGAATTTGATGGCATGAGTGCGAACTCCATCGTTATCGGAATCCAGCAAGGCCAGAACATCCTCTTTTATCTGGGTCATCATATCCCAGCATGCCTCCTGCATGTCCGAGACACTCTTAGTGCGCACCAGCCACTAACAGAACAAATACAGAACACGTCAGACACTTAAAAGCATAAGCCCAGGCAAACAATGAATACTGTGTAAGTAAGTGAAAACTAATGATACCTGTAAAGCCACTTTGTATAGCTGAGTGAGCGTCAGAATGGCCTTTTTCACCACATTCACACTCTCATCTCTCATCAGCATGTTCAGGTTGGCAATCAGCCTCAGAAGCAGCTCACTGTCTCTTTTACTGAATGAACAAGAAGCGACAGGGACAGGTCATGATAGGTATATGAAGTATTGAACTCAGTGAATTTTGTATTGTGCAGTACGATTCAATCCATCTCAGATGGTCCGATGGAGGTTACTTGGCCATTTTTAATTTTGCTAGTTTAGTTTTGAGTGATTATCTCTGTTTTGTGTATTGCAAAACCACCTTTTTTATTTTTGTTTTACTTGGTTCAAACACAGCAGCAGTCTTTGTGTCTTGGCCTAAAGCAAACTTGTTTCCACTTTTGTAATGGGAAGGGTTTGAGTGCACATGCAGAACATTTCTAGACTGAGAAAATGCACTTTTTTGCACTCATTAAAAAAATAAGGTATTATTTTTTTTTTTTTACGAGTGCAAGACAGTGCATTTTTTAATTTCGGATTGATTATCTCTGATGGAGTACCAGACAGCAAACTGAAATTTTCACAGATATAAGTCCACTATGATAGCATTCTGCTGTATCAATTTTGAGTTTGAGATTCCAACTAACTTGATGTGGACTGATTCATATCTAAGATCAGCCAGTACTCACCATGCCTCCTCAATGAATCCGATGACAAACTTTCGCACCTCAATTGATTTATCAGTCTGAAATGCGATGATTTCCTTTTGAGAATGGATGAAAGCAGAAAGTGTGAATTTCATTTCTGTGTCGGCTCATCTACCTACTTACACAAGCTGGTGAAGACTGTACAGACTGCACTTACATCCAGAAAATTATCAAGCAATGAAGGGTCCTTGTTGATAATCAACTCCTGCACCTGATAAAAAAAAGACAGAGAACAGAACTACATAATCATGAACACTAAGCATCTGATTTTTATGTTTGCGACAATATGAAAAGGATTTCCAAACCTGTTTGAGAACAATAAGCTTTTCCTCTGTAGAGATGAGGGCCGCCTGGTTTAGCAAGTCCACCACCTGATGGAGAAATGCAATCAATGCCAAATTGCCAAATGTCTCATTTGCAAAAAACAAAACAGCAATAACTAGTGCAGTGACTTATTAGTAATGATGGCCCAGTGTGTTACCTTCTCGCTAGTGGTCATGTCAATGGCTGTTTCTTCCTCATTGCTGTAGAACTGGGAGGCCACGCTACCGTGTGCTTGTTCTCCCATGCCTGACGCCATCGTGAAAAAAATCTAAAGAAAAGAGCATCACAGGCCACAAAGATGAAAAAAGGTGAGCACAATTTCAAGGTCAGCCTATTTCCATACAAACATGTGAAATGTGGGTTTTTCCATATTACATACTCAACATTGAGGAATATGCTCAATACTGATCACCTTACAGAATTCACTGTCAAATATACCTGTCATTTAAAGTAATATTTTCACACAATTCAGTGCACTTTTCATGTACTTACCTTCTTATAAGTTGTATTACTTTTTATTAAACCTCTCCTAAGGCAATACATCCAAAATACATTTTAAGGGTTAATTTTATTACACCTTATCTATTTGTGTCTGTAGCGTTAAAGTACAATACATATTTTTAAAGCATGTTCTCTCAAAATGATCCAGGCATCTCCATTTCAGTAGCACTAACGTCAAACTTTCCAGTTTTATTCTGGAGGTTTTAACAGAGGGGTTTGTTCATATACAGTATCCTTTGCCTTATTCATTTAAGATTTTATTACAGTATTTTCAGAGTGATGAGAAGAGATATCTAAAAAAAAATCCTCTTTAAAAACCTTTAACTCTAATATGTCAACAAAATGAGTTTAGAAACGTTTGGGACGTTTCTCATGCATAATCTGCTGGTTAAAATGACAAACGTTAAATAAAAAGTCAACCCGAATGAAAACACAGTATGTTGTGTTATAAGTGGGACTAGACCGGAGTCCAGTAAATACTCCAAAAGCGAGAAATACTGTCCATGAAGCAGATAAATATGCTGGAACAATTTTTAGGACTACATAGGTACTGAAATAGCTCGTTAATTGCTCTTACATAATTGGGCTAATAGTAGCTAGATTACTTAATCTTATAAAACAGGCTTTCTGGCTGTCCTAAAATAGCAACTTTAGTAAATGATGAGTATCACTTAACTGACTTTAAAAAAAATTATTTTCAATTCTATAAAAAGTGGGGAAATAAAATTAATATGAATAAAACCTGTCGGTTAGCATTGACATTAATAAGCGATCTTTTAAGCATGAAAAGTTAGAAAGCTCAAAAAGGATTTTACCTTGCTCAACCTTTCTTGTGATAACTTCTCTAGTGGGAATTACATAATATCCATATAATTAATTTTGTTACAAATTCACCAGTACTAGCAGTTTGCTGCTATTTGCGCCATGCTAAGAGAAGAATCTACTTCCGGGGTTGAGCGTGAACGTGAGGTACATGGGAAATTGAGTTTTGTTTCGTATTTTTTCCTTGAACATACTGTACAGTACCTGTAATAATTTACTGGAAATTAGTTGTTGTTGATCTTTTAATCAAACATTGAAACAATACTACAGACTGAGAACAAATTCAAACAACATGCATAAAGGCATACAAGAGGTACATACAAGCGGTAAACCATAGCTACTTGCCTTAAAAAATAAATTATATATATATATATATATATATATGTTTGCTTCAATTACAAATATTAATGCAACGGAAGTGAATCAAACTGCTAAAAAAAACTTAGCTCAGCAGTTTACACATCATTACTCAAAACTCAACATATATTTAAAACAACAACATCTATCATTTGAAGATATTCAACAGCACCTCTTTATACTGAAGAGAAATAGAAAGAGGAAGACATTCTAAATTTGACTTCTACTTCTGAACATTTATTATTTACAGGTAACGTATAGGTGATCGTAAATTGGACAAACCCAGTGACTTATAATAATCACAATCTAAACATGGTCACATTTCACAATGAAGCAGTAGCAGTACAGCCCAAAAATGTTAAAGACTTTCAGATACAACGGTCAATGACAATATCACATGCTTTGACATGTTATAGCAGGAGTTTGAAAATAACAAATCAATATTTTTTTCCTGTTCAGTTTCTGTTATTCACCTCATATGCATTAGTTGCTGTCTGTTGTCATATCTTTCATAAGAACTGGTTCTTCCTTGTAAAGCACTTCCAAAAATGTCTGTTCCGACAAAGGCCCTTGTGTTTCTATGATATCAAAGATCATCCTCATTTTTCTCTGAGATGTTGTCAGTTCTCTGATTTCGTCTATCTGCTCATTTGCAATAACGTCACCAAGGTGATCTAAAATGACATCCACATTTCTCACTCTTTGAATAAGTTTAGCTTTGTTGTTTTTCAGAAAGGATACACCTGTAAAATGAGGTCAACACATTGATTTTATACAGTGTATTCAAATGTTTGTGAGATAGGAAAAACAAGCGAATAATTTGTTCTGCTACAATTGTAAAATAGCCTACAAGCTGTTTCAAATGTAAATAGGCTTATGTTAAGGCTATGTGCTTACATTGTTCTTTAGTTGATAGGATTGGACTGCTGTTTTCTGCTGTATAGTCTGTAAAATAAAAACTTGCTTCATGTCGTCTTCATTTTCAACTTTTGAGATTAACCATATGAATCACTTGATTGAAATCAGTAAAATCTTTAAAGAATTCATGCATATAACGCTGTGCAGTACTCAGGTAGATCAGCACAAGGCCCCCAGTTGTTGCGGTCTAGCTTATAGTGATATAACAAGTATCCAATGTCTGTGATGATAATGACTTTAGGTGGATTGTTGACATGTCAATTATTTACTTCCTAATCTGTACAACTCTTCTAACACAAACAGTAAAGTGTCTTACCTGTCAGTGTTATGTCACGTCTCCATACAACTTTAACCTTTCCTTTCTTGGGGTTTTTCTTTTTGAGGTGTAAATCCACATCCATCACACCATCTGGCAACTTTATATCAAATGTTGGATAGTAATGTTTCCACTGCTTTGTGCAATGAAGTTTTGTGTCCTTACAAATGAAAGAGATGGATAATAAGTTTGATTCAAATGCATCACTTCACCAAATCTTTTAGACTATGTGTCAGGAAAAAACGTTTGTTTTTATGGAGTCATGTGACCAATCTGGAACTTTATGGACATATGGATCAGCAGTATGTCTGATGCAAAAAAGTCAAAGCTTATGAGCAGTAGAACACCAACATGGTCAAACATGGAGGTTGATCAGTCTTATTATGGGGGTGCTTTGCTGTTGCAGAAGTGGACATTTTGATTATATGAAGGGCATCATGGATTCTTTGAAATATCAGGCCATTTTGGTAAAGACTGTGATGCCTTCGGTGCATAGACTGAAACGGATGATCACTGAACTTTCCAGCAGGGCAACTATTCCAAAGTATACATCTAAATCTACTGAAGCTTGGTTCAGGGATCTGTCTAGAATGTTCTTGAATGGCCTTTTCAGTCTCCAGAATAAATCTCAAACATATTTGGTGGGATTTGAAGGAGGTAGTGGCAACATGAAAACCAAAGATTGTCGGTGATCTGAAAGATTTTTCAAGTGTTACGTATTTATTTTTCTGCTGCTGGTGTCCCTGTGTGTTCTCTGTTTGTGTCTCCCTGTTGCTCCTCCCACTATCCACTTCACCGGTTTGGGAGTGCCACCTGATTTGTGTTCCAACTCTTTAAAGACTGAGTAGAGCAGTGAATATAAGAACCCACAAATTTGCAAGCGAGAGAGGTTTTCATCTGACAGACTGTCATCTTCCGGTCCCAGCACTTGTTGTGCATGTTGTGAAACTTGTAGTGGTTAAGTGAAAGTTATGCTGTGTGCTAACTCTTGTTTAAGTATGGTAACTCTGTGTTTATAGTTACCATTAACTAGTTGGAGTGTTAAATTAATTCCCTCGGTTGTATGTATCTGTATAGTTCTGACCTGTGTGGCTGTATAGTTCTGACCTTTCTGAAGTTTATCTGTTGTTCAACTTTGCTATATCTTTGTTGTGGGATCATTTGTAGGGAGGAGGATGCCATTTAATTTGATGATTCATGTTTTCTCCTGTTTTTAAATAGACAGGGAGTAAGGAAAGGATGTCTTTGGGGTTTTTTTCTTTTGAAGGTAGGTCAGTTACTGTATGTCCACAAACCCTCAGTAAGTGTCTCTCGTTTATTTTGGCCGTTTCCCCTCCTGAAGTCTTAAGTTTGTATCCCACTGATTATCTAAAATAAAGCCAGTTATATCTTTTTAATTTGAAACCTGGTGGTGTTGTGATCTGTGCTTGTTCTGGGACCTGGAGATGGGAGTTCTCTCACTCTCTCCTCGCAATTTTTGTTACCCTCCTTTCATGTAACACAAGTGAGGAATGGGTCAAGATTCCAGAAGAGAAGTGACAAACGCTTGTAAGTACTTAGAGGCAGCCTTTATTTGTGGTTATAAAGAATGAATGTTTCTCTACAAAATTTGACTTTTGGGGGTTGAATCATTTTGTGCATGAATGTTTAGAGCCTATTTGTTTTTTTATACATCAACTTTATGTCCTCAGAATCACTCAATTGTATTAATAAAATATCCATAACAGTTTACGGATGCCTTGGTTGAATTGTTTCCATGAAATTTCATGGCACCAGAATGTCTTGCATTTCAAATTATTCAACCCCCTTGACCTGCAACTGTAAATTGTGCCTACATATCAATTTGTACACTAGACACTAAACTAAATGAACTGGAATGAATGGTTAAGGCAAAACAAAATCCCACAATACTGTTTAAAAACCATCCCAGGATGCACCTCATGGATAATTTTAAGACCTTCATGAGAAGAAAGTAGCCATAAGTGACATTATAGATGAACTAAATATGTAAATTAATTGACACATTATTCCCCCATGATTTCTCAATAATAATAAAACAAAATTCTATTAAAATATTCTTATTTTTATCCAAATACTGACCGCTGGTTGTATCTTTGATACTGGTCTCACTGAAAGTCCATGTTCCTCAACAGGATCACAGGACATGCTGTACACACATTCATATTTGAGCATGCATTCACAAGCTGTTTGGATTAATCTGTAATCTTTATTACAGTTTTCCACCTAAAAAAAAAAAATAGAGAAAGGTTAAAGTTGTTTATAAAGATCAGCCAAAATAAGGTGAAACTGCATAAACAAACACAATATTTCAAATGTACTTCTCTGGGATCCACACTACGTGGTTGTAGAAACACATGCAGCCTATGTGTTCGCTGTAGATAGAATAGCATCACCTGGCCATGTGTCTTAGACCAACGATTCGTAAACCAATTTGCTACTTTGGAAATAAAGAACGTTGATGTTCCTGGGATGCTCACTGTAACGTGCGTGCTTGTGATATTCTGAGGTTTCAAAATATCAGCAATCTGACTAGAGTAATGTATAACTGACATGAAGTGGCAGGCATCCTCTGAGATTCAAAACAAACAAACAAAACATTTCACATTTTTTGTCATGACCTCTACAATTAGAATTTAAAATATACAATATAGTGTTAGTTTTGATATTGTATTTTGCACTGTTTTATTCACAGATTACATTCAGCGTCTCTTATTAGGGGTTCAAAAGCAAAGCACTGAAACCTTATTGTAATTGTAAGGATTATTATTATTACTATAATTCTGCTGCAAAACTGATCGTGCAGACCAAGGTCTGCGAACCTTGGCCGCTTTGAATGGCCAAGGACTGCCCAAGAGGCTATATGACTATATGACAGGTAAAGCAACCAATCACGTTTTGTTTTGTGCCACGTCATGTTTAAGAGTCTATACCGCAAACTTTACATATTTCACATACTTTTGAATATCCAGTGCTTAGTTGATCCTAATAAGCGCTCATTGTCACTGTTGTAAACACGACAGCTTTCTTCTAACATGAGGGGGTTTGGCGACAAGGCATATTTGTTTCCAGGCGGACTGTTATAGAACGTGACACGCACATCTCCCGGAAATCCTGTATAATTCAATCAATCAGATGACGACTTTGAAACTTCTGAAGAGTTTCCAATTTTGTGTGCCATATGCATCAGACTGTTCAGCCAACAGTCCATGGGCGTGATGTCTGAGGCTGAAACTAGGGAGACACTGGCAAATACTCACCCTAATCGGCCAATAGGGGGGCGTTACAGCAATCGAAAACACAAAATCGCTTATAGATATTTTGTCTCAAATGTCTTATATCATTGGAATCTTTGGTTCAAGACAATTAATTTCCTATTTAATTTCCATCATGAAAATTTTGCCATTTTGACGTTTTTTCAAAACCTACTTTATTCAAAACAACTTTTACAAAAACTAGTCCTTGGTTTTCTGCCTAATCGGAACCAAACCAGCAAAAAAGTTCTCTGGAGTCTGATTAGTAAAATTGATCAAAAACAAGATGAAGTTCCATTGTTGGTCGGAACAGGATGCAAAAACGTTCGAATTGGGTGGGGCCACTTTTACTAAAACAGCTCCAACTCTCAAATGGAATGAGACATTTTCACCAAACTCAGAACACATATGAATGAGCTCATTCCTTGGTCAAATTACAAAAATTGGGAAGTTTGACAACTTGGTGGCACTATAACAGGAAACAAATATGAAAATAGCTGTAACCTGTTAGTTGTAACCCGTTAGTCTGATTCACTTGAAATTTGGCATGCAGTCATCTCCAAGGTGCCACCAATATCTATGATGGCATTGGTGTATCTTGAAAAACATGGCCAACCCATAATAACGCCATAAGCCAATAAATTTGAACACTTATTAGATGAGGTTAACGGAGGCCGATCAGAACAAAACTCGATGGGCCAGTTTGACTCATGGTCCTAGAGGTCTGTGAGAGATTTGAAAAATTGGCCACTAGGTGGCGCTATCAGGTTTTACGCCTTATCACACAGCGTTTCACAATATTCATATAATATATTATATTTCCTTATTCTGATTATCTTTAGAAAAGTTTAGATTATATTTTCTTTTCATCTCATCTCTGTATAATGCATATTAAAGCAGAGTTTTGGTTACAGCGGTAACCAAGGAAACGCTGTATGGCTGCTATTCCATAAGCGCCACCTGCTGTCAGAGAGTGAAATTGCGTCTCACTCAGTGCTTCTTCTGTCTTTGTTTCGTGCAGATATTTTATGTAGTATAGTTTCACAAAACTAAAGTCAGAGCATTCAGTTTTTGTTTTAAAATTTCAAATCATACAATCTAATTTAGATTTTAAAAACTGCTCATGCTGCATGTATTCAGCATCTTTGTTTGGATTGTGATTTAAATGCAGTGGTTGACTCTAATTTTGAATGGAAAGAGCACAGGCAACGCCTTTGTTTATATGAAGAGTTTTTTTGTCTTATTTATTTGATTAGATTTGGGGTTTGCTTTAAAATTTCAACTTAGTTTTGTTATTTGACATATTTCTGTTTCACAAAGAAATGTGCAGCATTGTGTCCAAGCAATAATAAAAGGACACCTTTTCATTTACAATTTGTCTTAAATTTAATTTTGTTTAAAAAAAATAAATCATGAGAAAATTGAATCGTGAAATCAGTATTGTGAATCGAATCGAATCGTGAGCTGAGTGAATCGTTACATCCCTACCGAACAACTTTGCCTCTGGAACCACTGCTGTCAAACTGTTCGATAAATATTTGACATTATGTAAAAAAAAAAAAAAACTGTTTCTAACTTGTCCTAGAAGGTTCATCCGGTTTTCACCAAAATTGATACAGACCATCTTCAGATGGACCTAACAAAAATGTATCAAACCCAATAGACCCAACCATTCTTGAATAACGCACAAATGAATTTGACGGAGAGCTTTCCAAACTGGGCATGAAGCTATATCTCTTAAACGCTTGATCATATTTAGAACAAACTTAGAGTTTGTTATGACAACTATGTCCTGAGGTTACTTGCACAGTTTTGGTACAGTGCCACCTAGTGTTCAGGAGATATTAAAAAAAGCCTAAATGGATCTAAGGCTGTATTTCTGCAATTCTTTGGCATATTGACACCAAACTATGTGTGTCATCATCATCCCTAGTTAACCACACCACATCAATATGGGAGCAGTGCCACCTATTGGTCAAAAGTGATCAAATATTAACTAGTGATTTTATTTTTCAGCAATTTTGGGAAAAATCTTCTTAAAATGTCTATAATTGCTTAAAGGTCTTAAAACGCTTGAACCCTGGTAATTGCTGCTTGCAGCTATATTGTGATTTATAAGTTTGCCAACTCACCAATGGAGGTCTCACAATGAGGTAGTCTGAGCTGAGACAGCTCACCCTGAACACATTTGATATCATACACAGGTCCTGCTTGGTAATAGTTGGCAGGGACTGGACAGTCGCTGTCTTGAAGAACAGTGCTGTATAGCACCTCTCCTTCCCCCTCCATGTTAAAACCAATCTGTGTAAACTTACAATGGAACCAGCCTGCATGGTCGCACTCTAACCTATTTGATTTGAAAAAAACAACAACAGAATATTAATGTAAACTTATACACTCAATTATCTTACTTCACCTTTTTGTTGACACAATACCTGTATTTACTTTGCCCTTTCTGAACGATGACCTTGGGAGTGAACAAACAATCTTTCATGTCTAGCTTCTGTGAAAAATAAAAAGTGCTTAAGTGAATTGTAACTGTATTGTCAAGACAAAAATGCATTTGCAAAAGTAAAAATTTAAAAGGTTAGGAAATCAGTGACTTACCCTTAAAATGTCTAAAGGGGATTGAGAATCTCCATTTGAATTATCTGGTAAGACTAGATGCATTGAATTATTTCTCCTTATCATCCTCTGTATCCTCTCTGAAAGCTCTCTCCTCTCTGTAGTTTCTGGTGCAGAGCCACAGATGTAGGATTTGTCTCCACATTTTTCAAGAAGCCACTCCAATACGCTTCTCTGATCTCCAGAATACTCATCTATATTACGGTCTCCCTCTGTAAATACTACAATGACATGATTCCAAAATTTCTCTCCAAGAAATTCTAAACTTTCTAGAATCTTTTTGGTCTGGTCTGTGAATTCGCCATCATGCAGAGAAAATGCAAGTAGAATGGCATGGGGCCCAAGAGTCAGTTTTTCCCATTTAAGAATCCTCTTGTCATTGCAGATATTAATATCAACCAAGTGCACAATCTCCTCATTCATGGCACCTTTGAATGTCTTAAGCCTCCCACTTCCAACTTCATCATAACGGTCATCAAAAACCAGTTTTAGAACAGATTTTTCGGTTTCACTGAAACTCATGAGCCAAATTCTTATCTCTTTGAGAAGAGGGCTTTCACCTATTTAAGAAAAACAAAGAGACAGTATAAAGAGACAGCTGACATGTTACTGAGGCTCATTTAACTTGCATTAAGAGATTACAGACAATTACAGATGCTGTCATAAAACATGACAATGTTAATGTCAACTTCTAAATTACATTTAATTTGCATACACTGGTGCATGCTTGCCTAAAACAGTGATGCTTTCCTAAAAAGTTTTAATTTGAAGTTTTTTTGCATTAATGACTCCTAAACTGTAATCTTCAAATTAATGAATAAATCCTTAATAAATACGGTCAGTCTTATTAAACAACATATTTTACAGTGCAATTGTGTTCTGATAAATATCTTGAATAAATGGATTTAGCAATCATAAATACTGAACAAAAAAAGTTTAGGACAAAGGCCTCTTTAAAAAGGGGTTGTTTGTTTGGGTTTGATCTGGACAATGTTTAATGGAGGAATAAGAAAATAGTTGAAATATTCTGTAAATGTATGCAGTATGTTTGAAAAAAAAAATCACTGCATACCAACAACTTAACCTTATTAATGGAGGAACCTATAAAATTTCAGTGTGTCTTTCAGATCTCAGTTTAAAAACCATTTGTTCAGGAAGCCATCAATCAATCAAACACAAAAAACATCTGCTCATTTCTTTAAGAAATGTAATTTCAGTCAAGATAAAACATTCATACAACTTTTGACAACATTCTCAGTCTATAGTCAAGAGATCATAAAAATTATAAACAAATGCTCAAGACAATTAAGATAATGCTTACTAAATCCATTAATACATTATTAAAGTTCAACTTAAATTATACACGTTTTGTAGAAATCTTTTGACATCTTGAATAAAAACATAAAATTGTATTTACCTAAATCAAGCCCATTTGTTATGGCTCTCTCATAAAACTGTTCAGCCTTGAGTTTTTCACCCTTCACTTCATGAATGAATCCCTGTATGCCACACACCATGCCGTCATCCTGGTTTTTCAGCCTTTTAATTCGATGTTCAATCACCTTATACAGTTTGTCCTCACACTTCTTGCCTTCCTCTGATTTCGGTTGCAGCCTCAGACCTTGCATGAAATGATGGATGGCCAGTTGTTCAGATCTTTTGTAGTAGAGCTGGTATTGGCCAAATAAACAATGAACTTCCTGCAGATCTCGCTTTTTATTTTCAGTCATTTTAAATGCTTTTTCAAAAAGACTCTCAGCTTCGAAGCGACCTAGTTGTCCGTAATGCAGTGCTACATCTGCCATGGCAGTAGCAAAAGACGGCTTTAGGGAAATTGCCATTTCCAGATGATAGATGCACTTATGCAGGTATTTCTGGACTTCATCAGACTCTTTAACATCAAACTCTGCTTTACTATGCGTCCTATGTTTCTTTTCCAGGATTTCTTTTTTACCTTTGTAACACATAGCCAATTCATGGTGTATAAAGGCTGAGTTTGGGGTAGCCTGCAGGGCTTCTTCCAGTAGAGTAATGGCAGCATCCATGTTTCCTAATTGGCGGCAAAATTTTGCTGCGTATCTTATGACGTGTGGGTTTTCAGGGGACATCCTCAGTGCCACAATCACCTTCTTCAATGCAGTTTCGTATGTCTTCCAATCATCTCTGTTATGCAGCATTCTCAAGGCTAGCAAGACTAAAAGAACAGCATCATCTGGATCAAGCTCTATAGCTCTTTTGAGCTGTTTTATTGTTGGTGAGTCTAAAGATTCAGAGTTCTCATTTGTTGTGCGGAACATTACAATAGCATAGCCTGAATTTAAATCACTGTCATCTGGGTTAAATTCAAGGGCCTGTCTAAAGCATTCCTTTGCAGCATTGTAGTATTTGTAGGAGAATTTAAGAAAAGTCCAACCCTTTTCTCTGAGCACCTCAACAGTATAAGTGAATCCTTCAGAAAATTTTCTGTGGATCCTCTCTAACTCTCTCAAGTAATCTTCACATTTAGAGACCTCATTCATATGATAGTGCAACCAGGCAAGGTCTCCATAGGTAACAATAAGAACTTCATCACTGTCTTTGTAGTGTTCTTTTGCAAGCTGCACTGATTTCTGGAGACTTGCGAGTGCTTCCTGCTGGTTGCCATAGAGATACAGAACAAATCCAACGCTGCTGTAAGCTCGTGTTACTCTTGCCTCATCAGATTCCAACTGAATCTGATCCTCCAGACGATTCAGTAAATCACAGAGAACAAAGTCTTCTTCTTCTCTTAGAGACCAAGTAAAATGGCACTCCTGCAGAAGCAGTTTGGTTTTTAAAGCACCTTCAAGACTGAAAACAGAAGGAAAAGTGGAGACATATAAGGATTTAAACATATTCTATTTACAGTATATTAGTGTAGGAAATTATTTCAGGTACACTCACATGCAGGCACACAGAAAGATACCACAGGTGTGGAATTTTATAATATATAAATATATTGTAGCCTAATGTCTGCGTAAGGGACATGATAAATCAATTTTTACTTGAGCTTTTTACATTTAGAAGGTCTTTGTTCCATTAAAACATCATATTCATTATAAATAAAGCATTCATTAAACCAAGAACCAAAAACAGCTTGTTTAGATATTGTGGGACATGTAAACATTTGCATATGACCACCTCCAGAGCAAGACATCGATGAATAGTTATACTTCTACATCATCGCACTATTTGCCCTGCCCACCGTCGTTCAGTCATTGACACCTGTCTACAACAGACACAGAGCGTTGTGGTGTTTCAAAAGCAAATAGAATACATAATAATCAATGACGCCATCTTCACTGGACACAGTGTGCAAAATGGGTGTTCAATTTCTGACTGACTCCATGTGCTTGCTGACAACAGGACAAACGTTCGCTTTGATGTGCCCGGTTTAGACAACGTGTTTGTTTTTGTATAGCCTTCAGAAGGGTTTCAAAGTGCAAGTTTTTGAAAACATTACCGTTATCATGTAAACTACAAAAACGTGAATTTATGAAAATGGTGACATAATACGCATGCGTATTACGTATTCAGTCTATAGGTAAGTATATTATTCTTGATGTTAAAAAATCTTACCCATGTTTCATGAAGTTACAGAATTTGTTTAAGTATTAGACATGAAACAATTTGTATTCTCAAATATTAAATTTTTTGGCAAATAAATATATTTTTAAAAAGTAGAGAAATTAGGAAATATTTAAAGTGGAGGTCTAATGCTATTTCATGCATTCTGACATATTTACACTGTTAAAGAGGATTCTCATGCTAAACATGGCCAAAGATTCAGAAATTAGTTGGACGCATGACGGAGTATTCTATGCCAAATACATTCCTTCAGGGTTCGTATAAGTTTCGGAAAGTTAATTTTTTTCGGAGTATGGCTCTTCATGACATCATAAAGGGTGAAATTCCTGGGCACTTCTCTCGGAAGAGTGCACGCACATCAACCAGGGGTGTGTTTCTCAAAAGCATAGTTTAAACGAACATTTGCAAACAGCGTCGTAAACTTACATGGTAGGAACTACAGCTCTCGACCTGTGGTTAGAAGCATAGTTGTGCAAGTGTGTTTGTTTGCTCCCGGCATTTCAGTGACAAATGTTTTACAAATAAATTAAATTAAAGTCAATTAAGTTTTTGTTTCAGTTTTATTTTTTTTCGCGACTCTTTAGACGTCAGACTCCTCGTGGAGTGGAGACGAATCTCTATCAGGGCAATCGACTCTATGAAGCAACATCAGAAACACTCGTGATGCTCTGAACAACATAGAGGCAGGCATTCTCCAGATGCACTGAAATAGTCTTCCGGCCAGTCTGCGAGAGGATCCGTTTCAGAGCGAGCAGTCCGGGGGATCGTTCTGCTAAAGCACTCTCTGGAGTCCCCAGAAGAACATGTCATGCCTCCGTCCACATGGACAGAAGCATTTTGTGCTTTTATTTGGAAGTTTATGGTACACTATTAAGAATATACAGAATATATGGTACACTATTAAGAAGTGCTAACCTGCAAATGTTATTTTAGTTAGGGAGCTATTTCTACCTGATCTAATCCTTAAATTTAATTTTATCACTATAACCTAGTGTAGGTTGATTAGGTTAATATTTTTTAGTTTAATAAAATCAAATATATTAGCCTAGATGTTACCACATGAGAAATTGTACATATTCAATGAAGAAAAACACTTAAAGGGACATAAAAGCTTTACTCAAATGAAAACACTTTCATCCTCATGACAGTAAAAATAATACTTTTTCTGCATATTTATTAGTTTTGGTTGTGTGTGTGTGTGTGCGCGCAAAAAAAAGTGTATTAATATTATAAGTTAACCTCAAGAAACATATTGAAATTATTAAAATAAAATCCATGTCATGATCCCTCTAATGCATGACATGGAGGCAAAGAAAGCTTGTAAAGAATAGGCGGAGGGTGAACCAACTCCAGTGTAAGGCTAAAAGCAGCCAAATCTATTAACTACAAACATCCTAAACCTGTCTTTTTAGGCAAGAACCAGACATGGGTGTCACAGATCGGCCAGGCTCAATCACAGTGAACACCTTCACCTGAATTCTAATCACACGCACCTGTCACGGATCATCAATCACCCTCTGCTCCCATACAAAAGCACACACCTCACTTCACTCCAGTGTCCGATCTCGTTCATTCGAAGTGGACACTCTCTCTCTGATATCCTTACCAGATACATAGAAAGACTTTACCTGCCTGTGATACTTACCTCCTGTGTTTCCTCCAGTGTGTTCTCCTGTGTTCCGTTCCCATCATCTGCTCTGTGGATTCCCCGTGTACCCATCAACTGAGGTGTGTGCAGTCCTCTGTCTCCCTTCCACGATCTCCTGTGAGGACCCCATACGGAGTCACTCTTCTCAGGACCATTACCATAGTTCATATTCTCACCTGCCCTATCCATCCGCACCCCTTGCTGAAAATAAACATTGTTATACTTTTCTAACCCTCTGTGTGAGTCTCCTTCTGTAACAGATGATCGGACCACAAAGGATCAGCAGGATGAGTGCACCCGACCTGTTCCAGGAGATCGTGGATGCCCTCAAGTGGATACTCACTCCAGTCATTGTCACACCACCAGTCACGCCCGTCACCAACGCCTCTTCCACGACAGTACTTACCGGTCCCATGGCCAGCCCAGCGCCCTTCTCTGGTTCGGCAGAGGAGTGCAACGGATTTCTGCTGCAGTGTTCGCTCGCACTGGAGATGCAGCCCCATCTTTACGCTATGGAAAGTGCCAAGATAGCGTTCATCCTCTCGCTGCTGACAGGGAGAGCACTGCAATGGGCAGAGACCACCTGGTCCCAAGCTGGTACAGTAACTATATCCCTTGATACTTTTATGACACATTTCCATGAAGTGTTTAGTAAACCCGTAGGCGATACCTCTGTCCGTGACCAGGTATATCCCCTCCGTCAGGGGTCTCTGTCCATAAATGACTACGCCCTGAAATTCAGAACCCTCGCAGCAGCCAGTGGCTGGAATGAGTGCGCACTTCTAACCACTTACCGGCAGGGACTGGAGCCGAAGTTTCAACTTCAGCTCACAGCCTATGACGATTCCTGTGGCTTGGAAAGGTTCATCCAGCTGTCCATCCGCTGCGCAACTCGCATGCTATCCGGCATGTCAGCACATCAACTTTCACCATACACTCCACTCCTTCGTCGGCCAGACACCATCAGCCCTCCAGAACCAGGTCAGGAACCCATGCTAGTGGACGGCACTCGACTCTCCCCTTGGGAGCGGCAGAGACGGCTGAGCCAGAGCTTGTGTTTGTACTGTGGAGCTGAAGGGCATGTAATCGCGGCATGCCCCATTCACCCACCATGACCTATGGTGAGTGTCATCAAGCCTTCAATAAGTATCTGCACCGGTCCATCCTCGTCTACATAGATGACATTCTAATCTACTCCCGGAGCGTTGGCCGAACATTGCCACCATGTTGCGGAGGTCCTTGAGCGCCTGAGAGAATTCCATCTGTTCCTCAAAGCCGAGAAGTGTTCCTTCCATCAGTCCTCGGTTTGGTTCCTTGGTTATGTCATCGATGACGGTGGTATCCAGATGGACGAGGGGAAGGTTGAGGCCATCCGAAACTGGCCAGTTCCAACCACCGTCAAGGAACTTCAATGATTTCTGGGATTCGCAAACTTCTATAGAAGATTCATCAACCACTACAGCTCCATAACCAGTCCACTCACTAACATGCTCCAAAATAAGCCCAAATCTCTGTCCTGGACACCAGCGGCCACGGAGGCCTTTGAAGCACTTAGGAAAGCCTTCACTTCTGCTCTGCTCCTCATCCATCCAGACCCACGATCTCCTGTGAGGACCCCATACGGAGTCACTCTTCTCAGGACCATTACCATAGTTCATATTCTCACCTGCCCTATCCATCCGCACCCCTTGCTGAAAATAAACATTGTTATACTTTTCTAACCCTCTGTGTGAGTCTCCTTCTGTAACAGATGATCGGACCACAAAGGATCAGCAGGATGAGTGCACCCGACCCGTTCCAGGAGATTGTGGATGCCCTCAAGCGGATACTCACTCCAGCCATTGTCACACCACCAGTCACGCCCGTCACCAACGCCTCTTCCACGACAGTACTTACCGGTCCCATGGCCAGCCCAGCGCCCTTCTCTGGTTCGGCAGAGGAGTGCAACGGATTTCTGCTGCAGTGTTCGCTCGCACTGGAGATGCAGCCCCATCTTTACGCTATGGAAAGTGCCAAGATAGCGTTCATCCTCTCGCTGCTGACAGGGAGAGCACTGCAATGGGCAGAGACCACCTGGTCCCAAGCTGGTACAGTAACTATATCCCTTGATACTTTTATGACACATTTCCATGAAGTGTTTAGTAAACCCGTAGGCGATACCTCTGTCCGTGACCAGGTATATCCCCTCCGTCAGGGGTCTCTGTCCATAAATGACTACGCCCTGAAATTCAGAACCCTCGCAGCAGCCAGTGGCTGGAATGAGTGCGCACTTCTAACCACTTACCGGCAGGGACTGGAGCCGAAGTTTCAACTTCAGCTCACAGCCTATGACGATTCCTGTGGCTTGGAAAGGTTCATCCAGCTGTCCATCCGCTGCGCAACTCGCATGCTATCCGGCATGTCAGCACATCAACTTTCACCATACACTCCACTCCTTCGTCGGCCAGACACCATCAGCCCTCCAGAACCAGGTCAGGAACCCATGCTAGTGGACGGCACTCGACTCTCCCCTTGGGAGCGGCAGAGACGGCTGAGCCAGAGCTTTTGTTTGTACTGTGGAGCTGAAGGGCATGTA